TTGTCTCATGTGTGGTAGGCAAGATACATTATCTTCATGTGTATGAAATTGCCAAATGCATAGAGAGAATAAGAGATCTAACCAACTGCCTGCAACCATCGAAACACCAATTGTTGGGGGAAACCAATTCTTTTACCTAACTAATTTTCATTGTTGTCCACAGTAAATTTTTCCAGGTTTATGCTGATTATTTTTACCAAAAAGGTCAAATTTCACTCACCGTTGCCTAATTTGGAGTTGATTGACTCCTTGTTACTTGCATAGTTTTAGAAGTTCAATACATGGTACTTAGTAGTTTGAGCACTCAGCAGTCACAAGTGAATGCAGATTTTTTCAAAATAAATTTAATGGAGTGGGTTCAAAAATGTTACACTCACATGCAAGTGGAAATTAAAAATGATCTATTATACGTTGACCTATGTATGGAAGTAGATGTTGCTAGTTGAAGGTTAAGGGCAAAATATAACAATCTGATGCATTGAAGTAATCACTTTGTTCCTCTGGTTAAAACATGCATGTTCTGTCAATGTTCCCGCATAAATCACAGAGCGAGTAATGGAACTGTGACCTACCTGACACATGTCATGGAGTTTATACTGTATCTATGACCTAATTTCTTAACATGTAATATGCTCATGCACGTATGCGACCTGATTATATTATGTGATTTATGCCTGTGACCTCTGTTAATTTGTATCTGTGACTTAACATAAACTCCTTTACTGCAGCTTTGGAAATTCATGCTGCCATAAGAAAAATGGTTTCCTGGCAAGATTACAACGTCCATGACAAAGGGTGTTATCACCAACCTAAAGAGATATTTGAACGAAACCCAGCGAAGAACACTCAGGGGAACATGCTTTGGACATTTTATGGACTGCCATGACATAGCCCTACAGTCACAGTTGCTACATGATGATAAGGATTCGATGGCTAAGCAAATTTGACGTGGGGAGAACAAGGCTGGACATTGCCACAACGCTGTATAAGTATCGGAGCATATACAAGCCTACGAAGATGGGAACACAGAAAAAAGGAGATGAGATTCTCATTGAGTAATGGCCGTGTTTTTTTTTTTTTTTTTAAAAGTTTAAAACAATGAACAAACTCTGTAAAGTTTCTGATTGTCTGCCACTGTCTTTTTTTTGTCATTGTCTGTTTCGATTTACAGTAGTTTTTGTGACTGGGTAAATTGTACATTGAATTTTCGATAATAATTGGCACCATTTTCATTGTGAGCATGCATGTGTTTGACTTAAAAGCTGTTACTTGCATCTGTGTAAATTGCAATATGATGGTCACATGTCATTCCATATATCACACATTTCATTCTGATGGTAACAGTGAAAATTTCTTTGGTATCATATGGTCACAGGTTTATGATGGTCACATTGGCCTGTGTAAATGTATTTACGCAGGTCACAGTCTGTATTAGAAGATTTCTACAGGGTCACATGTGATAATATTTTTGGAATATGTAGGTCACATGAATACTAGTAGTGACATAATGTTACATTAGGTCACAGAGAACACTATAGGGAATTGTTTGGCAACTCTGGAAATAGAGGGCAACATAGGTTTCTGAATCATTTGCAGGCAATCTGCGAAGGTCACAAAATATGAACGCATTTCATTTAGGTCATTGGGTTACATGTCCCACTAACAGTAAAACATTTTTTATTATTGTTAAGTGAATAGTGTAATGGTCACACAATATGTCACATATTGCTTTATGATGGTCACAGAGAGTAGTGCATTGGTAACACAGGTTTCTAATTAAGTAAAGTTAAAAAAATCTTATGTTACTTATCTACATTGGTCACACAAACGTGTTTGACAAGTCATAGGTTTGAGTATATGTCAGGCATTGCAATTCGAGGATCATAGTTTGACATTATGCATGATCCAAATTGAACCACGTCATTACGGTATCCACAAGCGTCGTATAGGTGCAATTATGATCTAGCAAAACCACCGATATCTAGGATCCATTCAACAAACATACATGCACATCCATCATATCTACAATTTTAAATGTATGAAGTCAGTAGTTAAATTAAATTCCCGCAGGTCACATATGTATTTCTGGTCACAGTTAGGATATCAAGCAGGACACATAATTTAAATGTATGAAGTTAGTACTTAAATTGAATTCATACAGGTCACATATGTATTTCTGGTCACAGGTAGGAGATCATGCAGGGCACATAATTTAAATGTATAAAGTCAGTAGTTACATTGAATTCATGCATGTCACATATGTATTTCTGGTCACATGTAGGAGATCATGCAGGGCACATAATTTAAATGTATGAAGTTAGTAGTTAAATTGAATTCCTGCAGGTCACATATCTATTTCTAGTCACAGTTAGGAAATCACGCAGGACACAGAATTTAAATGTATGAAGTCAGTACTTAAATTGAATTCATGCACGTCACATTTATATTTCTGGTCACAGGTAGGAGATCATGCAGGACACATAAATTAAATGTATGGAGTCAGTACTTAAATTGAATTCATGCAGGTCACATATGTATTTCTAGTCACAGGTAGGAGATCATGCAGGGCACATAATTTAAATGTATGAAGTCAATAGTTAAAATGAATTTCTGCAGGTCACATATGTATTTCTGGTCACAGTTAGGAGATCACGCAGGACACAAAATTTAAATGTATGAAGTCAGTACTTAAATTGAATTCATGCATGTCACATTTGTATTTCTGGTCACAAGTAGGAGATCATGCACGACCCAGAATCACCTCCAACATTCTGGATGTGCTATGAATGTAATCAACGTCACAGATATTATTGATTGTACGTAGATATTGTTTCAATTGAAGTCACAAATTTATGAAAACAATATAGAACCTTAAACGTTGAGGGGATAGCATGACATACTAATGGGCAATAAGTATTATTGGTGCCGACAATGGAAACGTTTTTTTTCCAATTTCTCGCTACAGATTGGAGCACTCAATTGGAACTTCAACCCAATCGAAATCTGCGTACATTATATTCGGTAGCCGACTCTCCACTGTTTGGATCTATGTGATCGGCGATGACGAATTGTGATTTGTGACCGGATATCTCGTTTAATCTGTCGTCAATTTTGTCCACAGGATCGAAATTAGTCGGGGCTGAAGCAGAATCTGTATATTAGGGAGGTAATTTGTTATATTAGGAAGTTTTAACGGTATGCCTAAATTAAGGAATGAAATTTAACAGAATAATTGTTAAATATAATTAAGTAATTCACGGACAAACCTGGTTTTTGAAATTCTAAAACTTGGAGCCTGATTTTTTATTTCGTGATAGATAATACTTGACTCGTGCATTTTTCCCATTTTCATTTAATTTCTTATTATGGGCTTACATATTAAGTGACAATTATGTTATGTGCTATCTAATTTAATAGGGCCAAATAAGTTATCTATTAATTGGACTCTAAGGATTTCTATTGGGTATGAGCTTTAATGTGTAGAAATCCAATACTAATTGAATTAGGGTTGATGTAACTCTAATTTGAGTTAGTATATAAGGATCATTATGAGGGTTGTGGTCCCTAAGTCAAATCATATGTAATATTGGCTATTTTCCTCCACCGTTAATAAGAGAGTATTCATAAAGTATCTTGAGAATCCTAAGGAGATTTGACTGTGGAAGACTCCATCCTTTCCTAAATTTGTCAAATATGGATTTAGGTATGCTTCCATTCTATTTTTCTCAATGTACTAAAAAACGTAAATCATGAGTAGGCGTGAAGGCGAAACTTCAAGTTTTACGAGTTTAAGCGAGCCTAAGGGACGTAAAAAAAGCTTTTTCTTATCTTTAATGATATTTTAAATTTTTAATCATTTTAAAAATCATTTAATAATTAAAATAATACATATCAAATATCTAAAATTATAAAATATTATAATTAATCAATTATACAATTTTCAAGTTTTCGAAATACAAAAAACTAGACTATTTTTCATAGTTTTAATTTTCAACTAGACAAGTCTTCCTTGTTTGAGCCACATTATTTTTTTAATTCACATTTTTCAATAAAATAATATTTTCCATCACATCAATAACTTTTCCTTGTTTTCCTACCACATATTTCCCATCATATATATAAAAAAAAAAAAAGCATTCTTGGGTTGATAATGTGCAACAAACAAGGGCTTAACATGAGTTTTTTATGAAAATAAAATCTTTTCGTTTTGGGTTGGTTGAACTTGACAATATTCGGTTTTTGGCATGATGTAATGTGGTGAGGTTTATTGCGACCCTGTTTGGTAGATATTTTTTTAGAATAGCTTTTGTGATTTTTTTTAAGAATATATGGATAAAAAATAAGGAAAAAATATTTTATTGAGAGAATGTTTAATTGAAAATGAATTTAAGGGAAAAATGAATTTTAGAAAATGGTACAAAAGATAGGCTAAACGTATTCCTATTTTATTTCTTCAAAAATTTCGACTTACACTGCAGCCAGAGCTTGAATTTAGAGATGGTCACTGGAATCATTAGTTAATTTTTATACATGCTCAATGGTCTATGAAATCAAAGGCTAAAAAAGAATTGAAACCAAAATTTGGAAATGAAAGCAGTGTTATTTTGTAAATCCAAATCATATTAACAACTTTCAAATCAAATCTGAAACTCCAAAGTTCTTTGTGCTAAAAAATCTTCATAATCACGGTGCATACTGCATCCCTTCCATCATCTCAGTCAAATCCTTCGGCGGAATAGAATGGAGTAGCTGATTCTCTCTTTCTGTTTCCTTGTCATCTAATCCGACCATTGAAAGCTTGTCATTTTCTTTCTCCGGCGACAATAATTCCAATTCGGGTGGCGAAAAATTTCGCCGGGGGAAAGTGAGATGTATTTTGTGAATGTGCAGGTAAATATCCATCAACATCAACTGGTTCAGGCGCCGAAGATTTGATTGTGTTACTATCCAAGCATCCAGAGGTTGGTGTCAGAAGAAAACCGGCGATATCTGTCAGCAATGGTGACAACACACTTCCATCGACAACTGGAGAAAAAATTCTGACACAGTATCGCAGAAATTCGCCGGCGAAAAGTGAGGCGATTGTGCCCGTGAATATGCACCAAAAACAGCCTGTTCTGGCAGGGATGGAGCTAGGGTTTTTGTTAGGGTGGGGCGGTGGGCACACTTTATCGATGTTGAACGTCGAGTTTTTGTCATGGATGTAATGATAATAAAAATATAAAACAATGCTACGACAATACAAAAAATGACATAATTTATAAATTATACTTGTTCCTTTCGAGTTTTCATACTTTGATATCATTGTACAATAACTTCATTATCGAGTTTCAAAAATATATCTTTCTCTGCATAAACAATTGTGCTATCATTCATCCACTGGATATACCATATTTTTCTTTGTTAGAACTAACTTTTTTGCAAGATCATCAATGTCGTTCAACCCTTCAAAGCATCACATTTAATGTGAGCTTGATTATGTGCATTATCATGTTCTCCAACATGAATATGAAGTTTTTCTTCTCTTTCCAATATGTAAAACCTTCACCAACAAAACACTCACCTCCACCTTGCTTTCCAGAACTTGATTTGAAAATATAACTATACAAACAATAAGCAACATCTTTTTCTACACTATACTCCAACTAAGAACCGAATTCTTTAAACCAAGAAGGATTGAATCGTCTAGCTTTTACTCCAAATTGTCGTTTTGGAAAGTCATGATCTTGTGGCTAACAAGGACCCTTTAACATATATGCTCTTCGAATTTCATCTCGGATGCTAGCATTATAATCCAAAATGGGTATCCTTAGACCAAGATCATTTGGAAGTTTAGTGACATCAAATTCTACATTATTCGACATCGTTGGGATCCCCCCATCAACATTTACATTGTCCAAGTCAGTTTTTCTTTAAAATAATCTCTTCATAACATTTCAATTTTCAACAATACTCAAATATCAACAATTTCAATTCAACAATACCTAAATTTCAACAATCTCAATCCAACAATTCCCAAATTTCAACAATTTCAATTCGATAATTCCCAAATTTCAGCAATTTCAATTCAATAATACCCAATTTCAATTCAATAATACTCAACAGACAACAATACCCAAATTTCAATTCATAAACAAAACAGACTAACTAGAGATTACAGTACCAGGTCCCACATCTTCATTAGCCCCAAAACTCGAAAACAGTCAAGATTCATAACTTCAACAAATGATATGGGAGTTGGCGGATCAATGACAGCTCCATTGACACAGAAGAAAGAAGTTGGGTTGTCTGTCAAAAGCTCCTACAGATAAAAAGAAGATGCATGTAAGAAAGAAAAGCTTGAAGATATTGTAAAAGTTCCATGGTTTTGTGACTGATGCAGGCGGAGACTACTACTGGAAAAATGGAGCAGCCTACAGCCGGCTGCTCAAACGGAAAAGACGGGGTGGGAGGGATTTGGGGAGTGAAATGGAGCAGTAGGGTGATTTTGGGAGTGAAATGGAGCAGCCAGGATTTGGGGAGTAATTTCAGCCTTCCTTCTTTCTTAGGCTGGAACATATAACTAAAAAAAAGAAAATTCGAGCCCAAAAGTTCAGTGTGGGCCTGTGCCCACACTGGACCATATTAGGCTCCGCCACTGGTTTTGGTACCAAAGGTTTGATTGGGGGTGGGGGTGGGGGTGGGGGGGTTCCTAACCATACAAATGTTGGCGGCTTTGTAAAATTCATAGGTTGGGGTGGCTTCGCATTATTATTGACAACAGGAGAAAAAAATTCGTGATTAATCGAGAAATCTACAGGTGGAAGTGAAAATTCCGACGAATTTGCAGGTGAATACCCACAAAAAACAGCCGGTTCAGGGACCAGAGATTCGATCGTGCTATTGGTAGCTCAGGAAAACCAGTAAAATTCGTCCCCTGTGGCGCCGCTCCGATTCCATTGAAAACTGGAGAATAAATTGGAGGCTCCGACGGAGCCACAAATGGAGAATCTTGACCCGATCCAAAATCCGTTCTCAAGCAGTTTAACATTTCTCCCAATCCATGAACCGCAATTTCAAGGCTGTAAAACAGCCCCGGCAAAACCACTTCCACTCCTTCTATATTAATCACATCATTATTTGAAATTAGGCTACCAAACTGGTGGCTTTCTACCGTGATCAAATGGCACTTGACAAGGGTATCAAGATCATAACCAGAAGGTAGGCGGCGGAGCTCACTGAGAGTGAGGCGGAGGGGGACCACGTGGCAATGGAGGACGGAGGTGTAATCTGATGCCGTATTGAACATGTCTATGGCGTATAGATTGGAGTATGTGGGAGCGAAGAATGTGAAGGAGCTGTTGCTATTGCTATTGAATATCTCGTAGATGATATCGGAAGTGGCGATGGCGTTGCTGAAGAGAGCGCAACCATGACCGCGAAGGATGGCGAACATTGACTCCAGCTCATCTTCCTCAACATCGTTGGTGACGGCAACGGCTAGGAAGAGGAGAGGACTTAAGTGGTGGCGGAAACTTGCCGCAGCCGCCATTAACGTAAAGTACTGGTTGAGATTCTTAATTTTTTGGTGGGCTTTCTTTATTTGACGCAACAAAAATTTGTGACGAAGAAATACCTGCAAATGGCTCAAAGAAAAGGCCATAATTCCTATTTGGCCTTTGACCGGTAAATATGTTTAAAAAAAAAAAAACTTAAAGTATAACTTTGAACAAGTAAAAACCAAAAACACCGCCATTCTCTTCCTCTTTACAAGAAAACCAACCCTCCTTTTTTAATTATTAATCTGGCGCCCACTTTTTTATTATTAAACCGGGCATTGGGCTGGAACATGGGCCAGCCAGCTGGTCCATATTCTTTGTATTTATGATTATTTTGTAATTAAATAATATTTGTATTCTTTAAGTTTAAAAATTTTCTTTTATTCTAATTTTTATATAAAAAATGAAATAAATAATTTTTAACATAAATGAAATATTATTTTTTAACGTGTTAACAAATTCTTATTTTTTTTTTTTTTTAATTTTATTAATTTAAAATTCTTT